TACCACTTCTAGTGTAGTGAGGTAGACAATATGCCAATAAACATAGTAAGTAAAGTAATCACACAGTGTATCAGGAGGTAATAAATGCTAAGAAAGAAGAAAAGGTAGAATAAGGGGGTGTGAGGGTGGGGATAGTTGGTAGTTGCAATTTAAAGGAGGTAGCAGTATGTCCAGTTCAGAGCTGTTGCAATGATCCAGGGGAGAAATGATGACTTAAGGGTGGTGCTTCAGAGTGGAGAGAAGGAATAGATTGGAGGAAATATTTTTCTTTTTTGACCCATAAAATAAAACACAATGGAAACTGCACAAGTCTATAATATAATGAAATATTATAGGATGAACGACCTTGTAAAAGCCACCCTGGTAAGAAAGTGAAGCGTTGCCATCCACACCAGAAACCCTTTCGTTAGCCCCATCCCAATCCCACCCCCTCCCCCCACAACCTGATTTTGGTAATCACTGTCCTGCATTTCTTGTTAGTTTTATTAACCAAATGTATAGAGACACTCTAACTTGGTCTTGCCAGTTCGACAGTTTTTTTGATGTGCCTTTTAAAGTCTTTAAATCTACAGGTTTCCTCGCCTTCCTGTCTATTTCTTTATAATTTATCAGCCAAGGAACTGGGCCGTTTGGCCTCTACAATTTCCCACACCCTGGGTTGCTCTGATTGCACTCCCATGGTGAAGCGTCACGTGTTCCTCTGTCCTTTGCATGACTTGTAAGTTGACAGCTGGGCCCAGAGGCTTGAGCAGACGCAGGTGGCCACTGATAGCCGCAAGTGTTTTTTCAGTTGAGAAGCACATCATGTCTGCTTGATGTGTTGTTTGCAGTGTTAATAGCTGTTTCTGCTCAGTGTCTAGAGTTAGTAATTCATTGGGGGTTGCAAAATGGTGATATTCTAATGATATCGTATCTGTTCTAGTTATCAGCTGGAATTCTTTTATAAAGAGATGTTTCCTCTTATCTACTATTTGGTTACCCAGTGGTACAATTCCCATAGGAAAGGCAGGATAAAGGACTTTTCCTTTATTTGCCAGTTTTCAAGGTAATAAGTTGGTTCCCTGTCATCCTCAATTTTTATTACATTATCAGTATCTCCTCCCCAATGTGGCCTTGTCTGGGAAGGGTGCCCTGGTTGGTCAGTTTCAAGAATTCATAGGTGCTAGGCAGCTCTGGTCTCCTCAGACCTCATCTGTTCTATTGGATTAGAGCAACCCTCGCAGTCCCAGCCCCTGCTCTGAAACTGGCTTATCATGTATTCTAGTGATCACTTGCAGGCTGTTTTGGAGTTCTCCTGTTTTTACATACACCAGACACCCCGCTGCTTCCCCTGCTTCCCCTGCACAGATGCTAGTACCTTACACTGTAAATCTTGTGTCTGTTGGTTTGCCCAGCTGTTTGTATTTTAGCTTTGGGGGGATTTCTTATCACCAAATTGGTTTCCATGGGACTTTGGTTTTGCTATCTGGTTGCTTGGTCTGTTTTTATATGGAAATCAGGGAAATTTAAAAAAACAACAACCAACTTACTGCTACCAATGCCATCTTTTCAGAATTGGATTGATTCCTAGATGAGTTAGTGGAGTTGAGAATAACTGAAGTTTTGACTTGGAACAGCCGGTGGATAGTTACTGCGTGTATGAGAGTTAAAAACAGAAGAGAAGAGGCGGGGGAGTAAGCGGGAGATCACATCAGTGTTTTCACTCTGAGGTTTCAAATGCTTGTGAGATACTCTCAGAGAAATGCCTTCTTAAGAGATGGGCTTCTAGAATTTGATAGAGAGAGCTAAGCGACGAGAGATCAACACATTGTAAATAATGAAGCCCTTATAAGTTGGAGAAATTACTATTTCCAGTAAAGATTACGGTATGAAATAGCAGTAGAATAAAAAGCTTGCACTTGAAGATGAAAGAGACCCTAACAAGCATTTGTGAACTAGTAGTTTTATGTATTTTCCATAAATATGTACAACAAATGCAGGTTCACATGAGCAGCAATCCAAAGAGGAAGATACTATTCAAAAATCCACTTTATGGATGCAGCCGGGATCTTGGTCATTGGGTGTGGATGCTCTATATGTTGGGTATAATATTAAGAGAATGAACTTTTGAAACCTGAGTATTTCTTCTACTAGAAGAATAGATGTGTTAAATATTGATAAAGATAGAAACCCTAGACCTGGCCAGGTAGCTCAGTAGGTTGGAGCATCGTCCTATACACCAGAAATGTTGCGGGTTTGATTCCCAGGCAGGGCGCATTCCTGGGTTATGGATTCAGTTCCCAGTTGGGGCATGTATGGGAGGCAGCCAATTGACGTTTCTCTTTCACATTAATGTTTCTCTCTCTCTCC